CTGTCTGTTTGTGAAGGGGTACAGATACAATTTTTACATTGTAAAAAGGTGTCTCTCTTCTTAAAGATTTAGATTTTTCTCTCCTATCATATTTAAACATCCCATTTTATCAAACAGCAATGTCTGCAATGTCTGAAAAGCCGACTAAGTACAAATGAAGTGCAAATGATGAACGAAAAAAAGTACATTTTCAAAAAAACTGTTATTCCTTTTTTACATCGTGCAAGAGGACTTTTTTTGCTTCTGGAACTTAAAAGTGACCCAGATGTTAAACAGGCCATGTTCACAGCACCTCATTTAGATTTCATTCTGTTTGTTGATCAATAGAGATTCACTGATCAGGTTTTTTGAAGCCATTCAACAAAATCCATGTCTGATCCCAATATTGCTGATCACCGATTACAGCATCGAATCTATGCATTTTTCATGCCAGCAACATGCCATTCTACTTATCAAAGTTAAATGGGCTTTAAGAAGAACCTGTTTTTTTGTGCTTCCGAAGAGGTTTCTGCTTGTGCAGCATCCCTGTCTCAGTCCATAGCAACATGATGTTCTATCGATTGTTATATATCGGTGCATCAAACACCTGTTATCATGTTAAACAGTCAGTAGGATGTTCTTCTTAAACGCTGAGCTAGTTTTCCATCTAGTTTAATGCAGCCTTTCCAACAAGCTCAAATTGTGACTCTAGGGTCCCCAGAATGTTTTAAAAAGTGTAAGATGAGATATTGTTAATTATTTATTGCTTTTGCACTTTCCCAGTGATTTTTTCCTATTTGATTTCTATTGTTGAATCATAATTAGTGACCTTCAATGGGGCAAAAGTGTCCTGTCTGGCGATGTGGCAATAAGAATAATTGTCTTGATGCAAAAAGAGAGCCCCACAGATTTTGTTTTCACAAGTGGAGCAGTAAGGCTATTGCCATAGTGTTCCGCTTGATTTATGCATATAAATTGTTGCATTATAAATCATGCAGGGTGTATTAAGTTTTATGGAGACTGCAATGTAAGTAGAACAGGAAAGGAACAACAGAAAGAAAAGGAGAAAAGATTAAAGAAAGAGGAGATAAAAGGGGAGATAAGAGGAGTTGTTCACGATTCTTTCATGACCTCCTGGAAGAGTTGTTGATCTGCTCTTTGAGTAGTTTTGGTAGATCCCTCTCTCCTCAAAAGCTTGCTTGCTTGCTGTTCCAATTTTTTTTTCTCCATCATTTTTTATTAGGATTGTAATAAACACACAGCTGTGAAAAAATTCAAAAACAGTAGCAATATCAAGGCAACAAAACTATTCACTGCCCTGCACATATGAATATATAAAAAACATGCAATCAAAACCTGCGTTCTTGCCTCTAAAATGTATTGTATATTATATGAGAGGTATGCATTATTTCTATCATTGACCTTATAACTAGACAGTACATGTTATTTAAACCTCAGAGTAGCTCATGTTTCCTGCTAAAATTACAAGTTATTACATTTATTTTTAATGCAAAATGGAACCATCTTCTAAAGCCTAAAACTCTTCCCTCATAAGCCGTTTGTAAATTATTTCCTTATAAAGTTTAACAGCAACATAAAAAAGGTCATTGTGAAAGCGTACTTTCCAAGGCTGTGTGGGAAATTCACAGCACCACTTGGCATCCTGTTTGTTTCTGTTTTGGGGAAGAGCAAAGGAAACTCCTGTTATCAGGCTGTAGCACTCCTAATCTAACATACTTGTTGACATTAATTTTCATTGCAAAACAAAAAAAAAAAATAAAATGCAAAACAACAAAAAAGGTCAGAGGTACTTTTTTGAAGAGGGGAAAAATGAGGTCTTGCAGTTGAAAGGTCCTGCATTCTGAACTTCTTAAGAAAGCACAATAAACAATCACATGTTCTCCCACAAAATAATAACATACGGAAATCCCTCACCAGCATGAGAGGCCCTGTTTTTTTCCTGGTACATTTGGTGCAGTAAAACAGGTTGCACAACCCCCCTAAAGCATTATCTCTACCTCTTTACTGCACAGCATCATCTAATCAATTTCTCCCAGAGCAGATAACTCTGGGTTATCTCTTGCACTGTCAAGCACTCATATTCCCTAACACCTGATCCCCAGTTAAATGATGGATGGATGGATGGATGGATGGATGGATGGATGGATGGATGGATGGATGGATGGATATCCTGAGGAAAGGTTTCTATCTCGCAAATATCTGTTCAAACATGCCAGGTTTTCCTGCTGTTACCTTCAGACAGAGCCTTTTCTCTATTCATCAATGAAAATCGACTTCACCTTGACATTAACTGAGGAGGTGATTAATTCATTCACCAAATGAGATTCAATTTCTGCACCACTGTTTTGTCTCTGCCACTTCTGTATGAGCAGCTCTGATGAAAAAAAAAACACTATGAAACTTTGGTGATTATATATTAAATATACTTTTAGCTTTAGAGTTTTTCTTAGTGACACTCACCAATAATTAGTGAAGTATTTAATAGAGAGAGTTCACATGGAAATATTTCCCTTAGTGTAAATTTCAGGTTTGTTTTTATTATGTCAACAAATTTTTGCTGCCATTACACTGCTTATCTTAAAAAATGTTTATCTTAAAATACTCTGAAGTTGGACACATACAGAAAGAGAAAGAGACCATTGACCATACCTCAGGAAGAGGGAAATATATGTATTTAGGTAAAAAATGATGTTTTTACAGTCAATAAAAATGTTGGTCGCACAAAGAAAACGAATGTCTACATGAATGCATTGTTGTTAGTGCACAAATAAATTGTTGGTGCCACTTTTGATAATTGCATTTATTATAAATACATCTAATGGCTTTTTATGAATGAAATAAGTTCATAGAACAGAACAGAATAGAATATGATCAACTAAAATAGAATAGTCTTTTGTATTTCTACAGTGATGAAATACATTTGTATTTGCAATAATTTAGGGAATAGATAAGAGGATTTTATCAAACATTTCAAACTGGGGCACATTTTTTTTGTATAGGTTATACCAAACAAAAGAAGAAAAAAACAACATTAAAATGTATATTTTAGACATGTCTTCATCAGATAAAAATCTGGGGCAGTTTGTTAGTTTTCCTCTTCGACCAAAATCTTCCATTTGTTTAGTGTTACATAACAATAAGGAGGAAATTATTATACAATGTTTGGCTGCTATATTGGCAGCTCATAACCCAGACATAGTTTATGAAGTGGAATTGAGTCCATGTTATTACTATTTGTTGGTGTATATTACTGTCACTATTTATTTTGGTTACTTACAGCACTGCAGGGCATTGATGATTATTGATGCATATTTCTCAGAACCTGCTAACATGTGTAGTACTGACACATAAAGACTTTTCCCTCAAGCCTTGTGTAAAGAGAGCACATCATTCTATGAAACATATGTTTCTCCTTAAAGATGTATCGACATTAAAGAACCACTCATGTTTCCAAGTGATGGGTTAAGAGTCATAGCTAAACTTTTCAGGGTTTGTGATGTGGATACCTCCAGGCTGCTTATTTTTTAAGTTTATCCTCCAAGTTTTCATCACAGAAGAAAAAATTCAGCAAAAATTTCATTTCACAAGATAATGTTATGTTTGTTTCCACTAACAAGGAAGAAAAGACTAGAGGTGCTTGTTGCAACAGGTACATAGGTATCCATTTTTTACATTTAAATTAATAACAACTTGCAAAATAAACAAAGAATAAAAGGAGGAACATCTGGTTATGCCAGCAGTAAATTACAGGAATTTAAAACATGTGACTTTATCTAAGAGCCAGATTTTCATTCCTCTCCTGTTTAGAGGATCACATTACGAGATTTTATTAAGGAATTTACCCCACAGATTAGGGAAAGTCCATGAGCTGTGCATTTCTGCAAAACCAGGTGTTAAGAGCAACATTAAAAATCCTGCAATGGGTTTAAATTGTAATGCTGAAACAGAAATTGGCATCCAAAGTAAATTCTCTTTCACTGTAGGCTAAAATTTCGTAAGCAATGCAATGCTATGATTTATGTAAGTATGGCTTTGTTTTATAAACACATCCCATCAGCATGTTTGGGTTTGATTGATGCTCAGTTGCTGGAATTCATTGTATTTTATTACACTGTCAGATTACTGTAAGGCCTATAAGTTTAAAAAGCTAATGACTATGTAATTTAAATTTAAAGAAATGACTCTCAGATATCTGCTATGGGGGTAAGCAATCAGCAGTTTCTCCTTTAAATTGATTTTATAACTTAATCTTGCTTTCCTTCGCACTGTTCCCAGTTAGTCCTCGAAAATTACTCTCCAGACTGTTTCCACTATTTACATGGTACTTAAAAGTTATTGACTTGAAATGCGTTTATTATAATTTCTTCATTTCTTTTAAGACCTGCCTGTGCAATAAGTTTGTCGTTAGGAACAGTAGAAGTACTTGAACTTGAACTTTTATCTAAAATGCACTAAAAAGCTGTGAGGGCCTTCAAGGCCGTTACTGCTGGCCTAAAATCAATCAGAAACACTGACCTACACTCACAACCTAAACTTGAATTTTCATTTTTCCAAACAATCCATTCTCTTAATTTTGTAGCGTTTCTCTTGGCTGTGCTGCTTCAATTTGATTTATATGGTTGCTATTTTGCCTTTATTTTCCAATCAGATGTCAGCCTTAGTTTAATGCTATGTCAGTGAAATCTCCCCAGGGCCTTCAGAATCAGCAGTGCTGGCTGAGATTACCATAACAATTTTAGTGAGGAACGTTGATTTCAACCAATCAGATTTCAGATTTGCCCCACTGGGCCAATTAGCGGGCCCACCCTAACATCAGCATTTTCTTTCCTCTGAATGGACAGTTAGAGCAAGATGTTTACACTCAAGTTAAGCTACAGACCATCTGCATTTTAGTTTTGCTTCTGTTAAAAAGTTTTGTCTGGCCTCAATGGCTGATACTACTTCTTTCCGTAAAAATTCAAAAAATGATACTGCTTAAATAGAGATACTAAGACTTCCTGCACCAAGACAGATGGATGGATTTTGTTTATGAATAATCAGCATCTCTGGTGAGTGTGATATATTTTATTTTTATGCTTTATGTGCTATTTTATCTGGTATTTTGATGCATATTGAGTCTAAACGGTATTTCATGATGTAAATAAGGAGGAGCTTTGGTTATAGAGTAGAGGATAGCGGTTGTCTTTACTGGGCTTCTTGCTTAATTTACCTCCGTATTAACCCCTCACATTAATCTTCATATTGTTACATTTCATATTTAAATACCATTGGGGGATTCTGTTATGAAAATGCAAAAGTGGTGAGATTAACCTCTTGACACCCATCATTGCAAATTGACCTTCAAATATTGCCTATAGATAGATTTGGACGTCAAGGGATAAGAATTAGATTAAGTGAGGGTTGCTCAATGAAGGTAAAAATTAAAGTCTGGTTTAAAATGTTTACTCTGCTCATCTGATTCATAACTTGAAAAATATTTTTTTCTACATTTGAAGCTGCAGATTCTTAAGAGCAAATTTCCCCACTTTGCACATAGAGAGACTAAAAACTGCAATCACTCTTTTTTTCTAAATAGCTCAATTGTTTGAACAACCTGACTCTCAATTTTCGGCAGTCATGCTCTCCTAAGCTTGTTTTTGCAGCCACTTGCATGTTTTCCTAACATCCACTTTGGCACAATCCCCCTCTGCTGAAGAAAAACACAGAGCATTGTGCTTCATCCACCATGCTCAAGCATGTGCGTTCTGTTTTAAGTGACATCATCAGGTTTCCTCCTCGAACCTAGCATTTTGCATGTAGGCAAAAAAAAAGCAGTTTCTTTATTATGGATCCCCATTAGTGACAGCTTAATGCTAATGTTCTTCCTAGGCTCCAGACAATGAAAATTATACCAGTGACATAAACAGAAATAAAATACATTTTGAAAATAGACAGCTGTCTACATAAGTCAATGTAAATCTTCCAACATTACAATACTAACCAAACTTAAACCACTGAATCAATATACCAAGTTTTGACACATAATTTTTTCCATATTTACATGTTGCTGTGCATGAATATTAATACTAGTCACTATAATCCCAATATGAGCTTAAAATAACTAATGTTAAATTAACAAATTAAAAGTTTACTTTAAACAGAACTTTATATCTAAATTTGTCTAATAGGTTCCACTGATGCATTGCTCTGTAAAGAATAGTTCTTTTAATGGCCATAACTTATAAGTTGAAATTAACATGTCTTATAAGCTGTATAAATGATTTATAATGGTACCTACAGATGATGACTTTAGGCTTTGTAAGCACACATTTCGAATAAATTAAACCGGTAATATGGAACCCTATCTTTGCCATAAAAGCATTTTAATTGTCTATGCATGAATTTAACAATAGTCTTATACGGTATTTACATCTCAGGGTATTACAAGTTGCTCGGTTTTGTATTTCCTTTATTTCTGCTGTTGCATTGCATTCAGCTCACTAGAGCGAAGTCTTTGGATCTCTGTTGCTCCTCCAGACTTCCTACAGTACAGCCTTCAAGGTTCCTTTCTGAATAATGCTGTCTTTTTCCAACTTGTCAGGTTAGGTGAACATCAGTCGTTTTTCCCAATCTTCTCTCTGATCTGTTGCTCTGTTCACTAACCTGATGTTTGTTTACTAATGTTCTGTAATAATTATAAAAGATGCTGGTGAAGATTCTCAGTCATCCAGGTCATAGTCATTCCAAAAAAGTAAAAAAAAAAAAAAACGTTGTTTTCCAAGTTTGTAGACATTTCGCTTCCCATCCAGGAAGCTTTTTCAATTCAAAATGTCAGTAATGGCATTGAGTTTGAGGCTTAATAGAGTGGACTAAAATCAAAGCCTCGTTTTGGCCTAGAAAACATGCAAATCGAAATGGATTTTTTAAACTTTTTTCTTTACTTTTTTGGAATTATAACAGATCTTTTGGGAACAGCTGCATCCATGTTTACTGAAGTTGGATCACATTGAAATGGGCGACTTCTGAATCCAGCTGTCTGTAAAGGGTTGTGTTCTGTAGTATCAGCTTAAATAGAGCTGAATACTGACCTTTTCCATCCATAGTTGGGGATCTGATCCAAAACTAAAATCAAGACTTTGACGAGTAAACATGTCCCATCATGAAACATGAAACAATGTGAAAATTTTATAGGGTATGAACACTTTAACAAGGTGCCTAAAGCAGGATGAAGCAGGATGATTACGAAAACGGGTTCTGACTTTTTTTAAATTTATTTCCTTGTAATTGTAATTTGCAGCCCTTCATTACATTATGATAATAAGAATCAGATTGTAAGTATGTAGGAAATCTGCTGGAACATCTTTAACATGTTTTTAATCTGTCATGTCTGCTAAGGATTTATGAAAAGTTTTACCCTTGCCTTAAGCACAGCATAGATTAAATCCTGATTTAGTGTTAAGTGAGTACTTTCTTCATAAAGATAAAGGAAGTTTCATGGCCAGGATTTTCCCAGCTGTATATTGATAAAAAAAATCTTTCTTTTCACATCTCTTTGGCACACCTTAGACCATGGCAGTGACTCAGAGTCCGATGGCACACCTAACAGGAAGATGCCGGACCTTCACAAGGACGACATGTTGGCGCGTCGCACATCAGTCACAGAGCTGCGGACCGCCATGCCTTTTAACCAGTACCTACCCAACAGGAGCAACCAGAGCGGATATGTTCCAGCTCCACTTCGCAAAAAAAAGAATGACAAGGAAGATGGAGGGCGCCAGACCTGCAGTACTGCAACCTCACCTGTAGGAGGAGACAGACCTTGTAGGTGAGTGTCAGGAATCAAAAAGAGCTGAAAGAGGGTTACGTCTTTAAACTTCATGACTGAAGAAAATGCATTAACATTTTGTTCAAATAATAATAAGGTATGTTTATTCTTTGCAAATAATGTTAGTTAAATTCAATGATTTATACATTATTATTTTAATTTAGAGTACCAGTTATCAGTTTGAAAAACAATATGGATGAAGGAACCAAGATTGCTAATGTTACTGACCGATCCGGAAACAAATATAAGAAAGCAAAGTTCTTGTAGCTGCATGTCCAGATGATCTTCAGGTACATCAGAATAATGATATATACCATCAAAAGGTTCATGTATTTCAGTGATTCCATTCATATTGTAAAACTTGTATAGATTCATTACACACTTAATATTAATTTGAATGATTATGGTCTAGAGCAGAGGTCTTCAACGTTTTTCAGGCTAAGGACCCCTAAACTGAGGGCGAGATGGAGCAGGGACCCCCTAATTATATATATTATATGAAAGTGTGTTATATCAAACTGGTCCTATAGTCACTCTATTACAGATGGAGTAATGTAACTATATTATTTCCGTCCAGGGATTATTAAAGTATTTCTGATTCTGATTCCTGGTTGATGGGACAGGTGTTGTGAATGAAACGGTGCCCCAGGTGAAAGAGCTTCTGTGTGTCGCTGAATGTGTGCATTGATGACTGAGAGACATCTTCTGCCTCCATTTATCTGTTTACTACACTGTCTTGAATCAATGTTAATGTGGATTTGAAGACATTTCAATTAGTGGAAAAAAACTTCAGGGGGTAATATGAACAAAAAGTCTAATCAACCAAAACTTTTGCAAACCCCATGCAGTACCTCTGTGGACACCCTAGGGGTTGCGGACCCCCTGTTGAAGACCTATGGTCTAGAGCTCATGCATATTAAAAGTGCATTTTCAAAATGTTTGCATATAACCTGAAAAAAAAAAAACATTTTAACACCGTCAATGAATGTAAAGTTTTGTTCACAATAATTCCTGTTTAAAACTATGAAAAAAAAGTCACTAACACACATCACAAAGAAGATAAACTACAAAAGGTTATTACAAAAAAAGATAATGTTTTTTTTTGTTGTTGTTGTTTTTTGGAAATGAATAGCCCAGAGTTTTACAGTGAAGTCACAGAATCCAGTGGAAACTCTCCATAGTCAGTGATGGTTCCTGGCATCTGTTATCAATGCCAAACATAACAAAACCTTTCAGCTGCTGACTCTTTTTCTCTGTTTCATTTTTCTTCTGATTGGACTGGATGATGCGTATTTTTATTGACTTTCACTAAAGCAGGAGTTTGAACTATGCTGCATAGTTCAGCATTAAGCTGCTTTAGGTCTGAAGGGCTTATTGGAATATATCGGTATGCCATATTATTACCAGTGAGCACAGGGTTCAGACATTTCATCACAAGTTTCACATTTTTTCTTACCCACTGGATTCCTTTTTATTCTTTTCTTTTCTAACTGTTGTGTTTATGACCACCTGATTTGACTAAAGCTACAGTTTAGTGAAACGCGTCATCATTTTAGTTTATATCTAAAGATAGCTCTGATGAAATGCAGATAACTGATTCAAAGTAAAAAAAAATAGAAATTATTTTCAGTCAGTTTTACAATTTGTTTCAATTGCCCAAAAGTAGAGTTTTTTCATACCAACGTGTGTGCAGTTTGTTATGTGAATCACTCATTATTTGCTGCTAGTAGTCCAAATTTATCATAAATTCATTCTTTCTTTTCATGTTTGTCCTCCTCCTGTCTTTCCCTCCCTCATGTCCTGTGACCATGACATCATAATACTCCTCATGTCACTCATTTTCCTCCAACCTGATTATGTGCTCCTATTTTTTCCAATGTGTGTTGCAAATTGATGTTATGAAAGTCCAAAAGAAAGCCCTGTCTTAGTCCTCCCACTTAGAGAGTCCCATAGCCCTTCTCCCACTCCACACATTGAACCACAGATTCAAGAGAACAAGAGCGAAGACGATGAGAGGGATGTAAAGCTGAGTGCTTCCTCACCTTGCATTGTGATCCATGCTGTGGGAATAAGAAGGAGCAGTGAGCCTCTACGATGTGGCCTCTACCAGGCCAACTCGGAGCCCCCTAGGGAAACCATCACTCAGCTAAAGGGCACCTCTGAACAAAGGTCAAAATCCATATCCTAAATTCCACACCTGATTCTGATTTATATTTCCTCTAATTCTCTTTTGATATATTTTTTGTTATACCCTTTTCTGATTAAGCAATCATCTTAGACTGTCTCTTAATTTTTCTTTATAAATATTTAACCAGAAATATGTGTTGAAAAAACATAACAGTTTCCCCTCTGTTATAATGTTTAAGCCAAAAATGTAGCCATAATGGCCCATCATCATTTAGTGGTTCGTAGAAACACTTTCAAGAGTCTAACCTTTCAATTCAATTCAGTTTATTTATACAGTGCCAATTCAAAACACGTCAGCTCAAGGCACTTTACAGTTTAACCAGATCATACAGTCAAATTGATTCAGTTTTCAACCTGAGAAAAACCAGTTGATTGCATCAACTCATTGCATCAAAGACAATTCCTCACACTAAGCATGCTTGTAGTGACAGTGGAGAGTAAAACTCCCTTTTAACAGGAAGAAACCTCCAGCAGAATCAGCCTCAGTGTGAGCGGCCATCTGCCGAGGCCGACTGGGGTTCAGGAGACAGAAACAGAGATCCAGTAAGAAGCAAAGATACCTTTATCACTGGAGAGAATCTGGAATCAAACCTTTTTTTAACGTCTCTTTGCTTTATTAACATTTGGAGACATTTCTGTGTCCTGCTACAGTCATATCTCAGCTTGCTGGGATTTAAGAATACTGTCAGGGTTTTTACATCTGGATATTTATATTTCAAGTTTTGGAAAACTGTACATAATAATTTCAGCAGATGTAGATCTTTTAAGAAACAATATTCAGTGTTATCCATCGACGTAACCATATATAGTTCCTATTGGTAGAAAACAGTTCCAACTTTCCTTTTTTCTTATCTGACTACTTTACACTGCTGTAATTATGAGATTAGATTTTACACTATAAATCCTTTTCAGCAGCTTAACTATTAGCTAAGAAGTTTCTGCGCAAATTCATAGCTGGTTGGGACACAGAATGAACATACAGGCTTTTCTTTATTGAACCAGACAAAGTTTGTACCCAGTGGGCCACCCAGAGGCCATAAATTAGGCTTCAAGTTTGAAGCAACAAGGTGGGGATTATAAACTGCAAACTGAATTATGAACTGAAACATTTCTTACAATCCCAGCTTGTTCCAGGACTGGGAGTATTTTTTTTATTTTTTTTGGAAAATGACATTTAAGGGCTCCTAAGTTATTTCATAATCCGGCCTGTTTTTTCATTTTTTTTTTCTTTTGTTTTTTTTTTATAAAAAAGCCAACATTTATTTTAGTCCTGTTGGTTTGTTGTTACGAGGAACCACCCCTCGGGTTCCTTTTTTTCCGACTTTTTGGCACAGATGTTAGGGCTTTGGTTTACTCTTAGAATTATAGGAATGTGTGTGTGTTTTTTAAAGGACTATGTGTTTTAAGTGTGCTTTAAAAAAAATATATAAGATGGAGCTCTTGATATTGATATTTACACTTAAACATTACTACATTTAGAGACCACAATTCTTTTTTATTTGTTTCCATTATAAGCTTTACTAAAAGTAGATGCCTTAAAAATGTGTTATTACAGTACTTTTCAAGACTCCCTGTTTTTTAATAGTCAAACTTTTGTATGTTTTTATATCCTATATAAATAGCAAACACACATGGGTATTTGTTAAAACAAAGGGAAATTTTGCGTCATTTAAAATTTCTTACCAATATAAATCTGAAAAATTAGGCATTCATCTGTATTCAGCCTGCTTAACACTAATATTCTTTTTTTTATTATTATTTCAAGACCAGTAGTTGTTTCTTCGTGAGTCAGTCTGTGTAAATTGATATCAGCATAAATACGGCTGTAACATGGTGGTGGCAGCATTATGCATTGGGAACTTTCTTACTCATTATTTTTGGTATAATATTAGAGGAATATATGAATATTTTTCACATTGTACCATAATAGCTATTTATCCATCCATCAATTTTCTCCCGGTTGCTCCTTCAGGGTTATGGGGGTGGCTGGTGCCTATCTCCAGCAGCCTATGAGCAAAATGTGGGGTAGTCCATCGCATGGGAGCACAGAGACACACAAGCATGCACACACACATTCACACCTGAGGACAATTTAGGGACAGCAACTAACCTAACAGCCATGCTTGAAACAGGGAGAACCAGCTCGGGGTCTTTCTGCATGGCATTGGCATCAATACCATGCAGAAAGACCTCGGGCTGGGAATTCAATCCAATACCATCTTGCTGCAAGCAACAGTGCTACAAACAACGCCACTGTGCAAACCACAACTTATATTTATGTAGGGATTAATTTTACAAAATCCCAATCCATAGAAAGACTTTTGATCTGGAAAGGCAACTCATTCTACTGCACAATAGCACCACCAACAACAATACCTGAATAGTTTTCAAGTATGTTAACTAACTCAGTAACAGCTATTCTGCTACACATTAACCTATAGAACATACATAAGAGGTCAAACTGGCTATATTAACATAACAAGCCAGCAATTGCACAAAGCCAGTTAGCACTTTCCCCTAGCCATCTAGTTTTCAGTCCACAATTGTCTGTCTTCATTTTTTTCAAAGCAGTAAGAGTAGCAGTGCAGAAACCTTTACTTCGCGCGTTTCTTTCTCTAAATTTCTTTTTGAAACTGAACACACAGGACACAAAAGTGAGAGCAGCGATTGCACATAGTGCTTTGATGTTACTTTTGTCCAAGATGCATGATTAGTTATACGTTTAGAGTGAATTTGATATTAATACAGTCAATCCAGCAAAGGCTGCAAGGATGCAGAGGTAGACGATTTTACTAGATTTGACTGAAATCATGTACCGGTAATATAGAAAAGATGGACACAAATAAAATTTCCCTACATGTTAAGGGTGGTTACAGACTGCAATGTGTGGCGATCACTCCTCTAATTTATGATCAGTGAGGCCCTCACTGATTGGTTTTGGGCCATACATCAGCTACAAAAGTTAAGCCTTTCTTGCTTTCTTGTGTCACATCGCAAGCATCTGTGTGCATTTTAATGTCATTCCCGAATTTTGCCCATCGCTTTGCTGGAGGAGGGCAAGTGACTCTCACCTTATTGCACAACTCCCATAGCAAATGAAAGGAGAGAGATCAAGTTGTGTCTGCACTGAGCCCATGAGTCTCAGGATCATGTAAACTGAAAAAACATGCAACATATTCCAGAAAATGCTTGAAAGGCACTCTAGTGGCAATCAGTTTCTTTTGAAAATATCCCAATTTCAAAAAGAAATTTGCAGGAACCAAATAATTATTTTTTGTTATTATTTTTTGTCATTAAAACAGCCATCAGATAAAGTGTGTGCACCTTTAAAAATGTGGCCATGAGCCTATAACTGTACAATATGTGCAGACAAATCCACACATAAAAAAAAAAAAAACAGCCTGCACGTGTGACCCGCCCTCAGGATGTGAGGAAATGAGGTCTTCTTCCATCCCTGACCCTGAGCAGATTAGGTCTGAAGGCCGGCCCTCTCCCTGCCAGCAGCCGGCCACTTTCTCTCTCCACACTTTGGTTTAGAGTCCAATAAAAACTTCCAGCAAAGTAGCTGTTCAGAAAACAGTAACAAAACAAGAAGTGTTGAAGTGACTTTGGTTTTACTGGCTCCAAGCTGTTTTCACATCCCAGCTGCTCTAAACAGACCTGTTAGCATGCAGTGTTTTGTTTGATTTACGACCTCACAACCGTTCCATCTCAGGCTGCTCCAAAGGAATGCTGTCTGATTATATAGGAAGATACGAAGCAGCCAAACGCTTCAGTTTGCTTTGCTTTCTGCAGTGCTTCAACTCGCTCGTGCTCAGAGGACTTCTCCCAATACTTCGCGACTCTCTCTCCAAAAACCACCACTTCTGCCAGGAAACGTCAGACCACAGTAGACCAGCAGGTTGCAGGAGTTGCAGGTGCAGATGGGGATGATAAATGGATCTGTCAAATGCTGACCTCACCCAAATATGCTCCCAGTTCCTCTGATTTCCTTCCTGTGCCCACTGCCATGGCAACCACTTTAGCAAGAGCAACTGATGCAGGCAGAACGAAGGAAAGGAGTAAAAGAGAAGAACCAAGGGAGGAGAAATCTTGTTCGGACCGTATTCCTCCAAGAACGTGAGCTGAGTCGTTTTAATCTGATGCTTTGGACTCCATCTCCTTAATTTGCCTTGGTAGCTAAGGGATCTTTCTGTCCAAAGATCTTAGAGTGCCCTCTCCATCAGCATGATGTTGACCTCAGTGTGCAGTGCCCTGATTGGATTATGACCTACAAAATGCATGATATTCTCTGCATACACTGGGATCAGAGCTGCTGAGTTTGATTAGCAGAAATACAGTTGCACAGATAATGCATGAGAATGGAAAAATAAATTTTGATTTCTTTGCTTGTTTACTTGAAGAAACAATTGAGGGTGATGCTTTTTGTATTTTGAGGGCATAAAAATGAGGAACAATGGTTGATTTTATATTGAGACACATGTTATTGAGACAGATATTATCCCATCTGTACCAAACTCTTTGGCAGATTAATGATTTACTAAAAAGTGCCATGTGGTGAACAGACACTGCAGAAAAAAAAATCTGGTTTTGATTTGGGGAATTCTCTAAATTTAGTCTTTACTTTGCTCCAACCACAGGCCACAGTTCTTTTACACCAATCCACGATAACAGCAGCAGCTGTGTTTAAAAAGATGTGAAAAGTTTATGGATTCATGGGAGTCCATAAACGGTCTGTAAAACATTTGGAGCCACATCTTTCAAGTTGTTCATGTGCTGATTAAAGACGCATGAGCCCTCTTTATTTAGCTCTTCTATGCTAAATGCACCTTTTTCCCGCTGGCTCTGTGTTTTGCTTTGCAGTGCTGCAGTTTTATCTATATTTTAGAAAACAGTGCCCTCTTGTGTTTGGTTTAAGGCTTCTATTATTTTGATATGGGATGATTTATCAAGCAAACATTACAGAATTTTCATAGAATATGAATATGCTATGAAATTTAAATAAGATTTCATAGAATTTTTCCTGTCTTCAAAGACTCAGTTCTTTATTTCTCTGCTTATTTGCATGAGAAAATCAAATCTACTTTTTCATTAATCTTAGTGTTGTCTTTTTATGCTCATTCCTCTCTGTTTTTTAGCCACACAGATAATGTCTCAGATGATTCACAGTAAGTTGCATTTTGTAAAGCTTAAATGCTTTCAGTCTGCGATCAAAGTTAATACCTGAAGTCCTCGTTTATTGGCTAAAATCAATTTTGGTTTCATACGGGGGAGATGTTTTGAGGGGATTTTGGGGGGTCTTGCAGTTTTGAGTTGATACCTTTTACAGATTAACCCAGAAAATGATATTTGAAAAAATAACATTGGATCCCCATTTTTTTTTTTCAAAGGAATTCAATTTCATTTTATCAATTTATTTGACAGGGACACTATACATTAATTAATGTTGCTGCAAATGCACCTGAATTACAATTTTTATCTGTTGTCCCTGAACAGATCTTTAAAATTGTCTACCTGAAAACACAACAGTAAGAATTTTACGGTAAACATTACAATTATAAAAATATAAAGATATAACTCTTCAAATTTGGTTGACAACTCTTTCTTTGGTTTTACAGTGGTTATTTTACCCCATTCTTTTAACATTTTCACAGTGCGATAAAATAATATGTATCATAATCAAAATTCCATCACAAAACAGAATTTTGTGCCAGATTTCTGACCTTAGGCTTTCTGTGTCTGTAACAAAAAGATAAAGGTCTTCACATTTTATGCTGCATATAACATTACATATTAACTGCAAAAAGGGCTGTTAACATTGTTGAAGCTACATCCCAAGATTTCAGCCTTAATGTGACCTTAGTATTTCCAAAGGACTGACATTATTTCCATTAACAGTATGTATAATGAAAGAAAATCAAAAGGTTAAGTTTTGCCGTACTTCCTTCGTTTTATCTGCTGAAAGTCTTGCTCTCTCTGCCTGAATTAATGGCAAACATGCCTTAACGTGTCATAGAAATCGGCACATGGAAATGGCAAAAGGGAACAAATAGTGTTGTTTTACCACAAACAGAATGCCAAACTAAGTTTGCTATGTCATATTTTTTAGTGCAGCTTCCAGAGAAGTTATCACTGTATTGTTTTTGAGAAGCTCATGGAAATATATATATATCAAAACAACTCTAAAGGGATTCAAATTTTTTTATCTTAAATATGAGTGTAGTCTTATTTGATGTCCAAAATCAGCATTTACTATTTTTCAGTGATTTATTATATTTTATAATCTACATATCCAGGCGTTGGCTATGGATAAATATATTAGACCTGATCTGTAATCTGCGGCTCTGGAGCCTCAATTGGCTCTTTAGACAATTGACAATGGATCTTTGTAACTTTGGCTAAAAATAATGAAAAGCCAGCTCCTTTTTTGGAAAAATAGAAATACTCCCACTGAATTTCTAAAATAAATTGACTCTGAATTGAACAGAAATATAATTTGTGATCTTTTTAAATGCTTAAATTGGATTTCAGCAACCCATAAAAAAAAATGTTCCTTGATTTCAAAACTTTTGAAAAAGCATGGGAATTGGTAAAAAAAAATCTTTGGTAGCTATCTCTTTAAAAATGTCCCACAATGTCTGCAGCTCTAAACATTTTTAATTAGCTGGACTTAATGTAAAATAGCTCTTTGGATTGAAAAGTTTGCAGACTTTGGTTTATAATAAAAAAAAAGAAACCTAATAAGTTTCAGAAACTGAAAAAGAACACTTCCCAAAGTAGAATAAAAATCTTCTTACAAAATTTTTATTGAAGTGTATCAGCATCATTCAGAACTATGACTTTTGTAACCTTAAAATGACAAAACAATGGCCACAAAATATTGTTCCCTTTAAAACACTTTTTTACATCTCCATGCTTCCTCTGACTTTGTTTTCAAAAACTAGTTTATTAAAATACCTATGACCAATACCTATGACCTTGACCAGGCTTTACTAAATAACACCCACACCAGAGTGCTGTTGGTAAATGTAACCTTGATGCATTCACTGACCAGAAAATAACTGAATGTTGAATTTCTGAGCTGTCAATATGCCAATTCTTGTCACCATCATTTATAAATTTTTTAGGCTCTCTGAATCCAATACAATTAAAACACATCATTTAGGCACAACACTTTCCTACAAAAATCAATGTTTGGGAAGTTAAGAAATTTAATGTTGTCTGTAATAAAACTGCATTAATTTTATGTACCTTTACTGATGTTCGTGACAACAATAATTTTGCTATTTTTTAAGGGAGATTAAATTGTTGAACCAGTTATGTTACTTCATATATTTCCAATGCATTTACACATTTTTTTTATTTTTATATATTTTTTTGAGTTTTTACAGCACTAGTGGCTTGCTTTTTCGACAGTAGGCTGACAGGAAAGGGGGTATGAGAGAGTGGGAGAGACATGCAGCAAAGGACCACAGGTTGGATTTGAACATGGGTCAGCCGAGGACTAAACTTTAGATTAAAAATGCAAATCTATTGCTATGGGTATATGTGCCTTTAGAGTCAGAAAAAGTGCTTTATCTTCTGGCTTTTTATCACTGTTTTACTTTTGGAAGTAGCTAAACTCTACTTTTTTGCTACTGTTTTGCTGTCTGAGCATTGAATATGGCGACTATTACATTCAAGACGTTACCAATAAAAAGAAAAAGGCTTTAAAGTTATCAGATAAAACTAAAACCTAAAATGCGACATGAGAGAAAGAGGTTTTGTGCCTCAGCAATTTCCATAGACACAGAAAAAAGTTTTATGTTTCTGTTTTTTTGGGAGTTGTTTATAACACTTAATTTTATTTCACTTGTGCTTATTAGGTGTTTTCTTTCCGGCTAGAGAAGTCGAATGTAGATGTTTATTAACATTAAGTCTAAGCTGCATTATTTAAGGTTTACTCACTATGCATGCTCTCTGTCTCGCCTTCTCACACAGGAGTGTGAGTATGAATGACATGCGTGGTGAAGAGGAGGCGCTTCGGCAGCCACATAGTCACGTCCGTCATGAGCGGATGCACAACCAGTACAACAGAATGAGAGAAGACGAGAATCACTGGCAGGAGGTTAGTGCATTAAGGTTCCTTCTTCCATCAACACCTCTTTGACAGAAAAGTGTGTTTTTGCAAGCAACTGAGCCAGGTTGCATCTAAACTGTACGTATCTGCGCCTGTTAGGACCTGGCCCGATGGAAAAGTAGAAGGAGGAGTGTCTCTCAGGACCTGATTAAGAAAGAGGAGGAGAGGAAAATGATGGAGCGACTGATGTCAGGAGACGGATATATCTCTCAAAGGAGAAAAAGCATCAAAACTTACCGAGAAATTGTGGAAGAGAAGTAGGTAACACCCACACCAGCAGCACAATGATTTGTTTTCCCACAAAGGAAAGGTTGTTATTTTGTTGGATTCTGTAGACTTACACAAAGAAACACATCTTACATCTGAAATGTAGGGCAAGTGAAACATGGTAATATGTTTCAGTTCAAGAAAAAAAAAAAGATTTAAAAAATTTAGCTTGCATTTAGCCCCCATAGAACCACCTTTCATCGGTGTTCCAGCAGCAGATCATTTGGGGTAGTGTCTGTACTGTTATGGTTCTATGAATGAAAGTAATACATATATAAAATCTAATGTGGGTTAAAGGCGATATAGGAATGAAACAATGTAAAAACTTCCTTTAAAATTTGTTCTTATTCAGTCAGATTGGATAGACAGCATCTGTGAAAAGGGATATGAACTTGATGAAGCTGTTTGTTCAATAACAGCTTAGGGGCCTGAACACTGCTGCATACCACAAATTAGATTTTTTAATTTTAAAACAAGTAGGATATCATTTTATTTCATGATGAATCACTACTTAAGGTTGATTTGTCTTTAAAAAAAAAACTGTTTTGGTTGTAACATGATAAAACAGTGTGTCAACAATTTTCAAACACTGTCTCTTTAAATAGAGCTGAAGGCAACTTATACTTTTCGGTTTGTCTGAACATTCAAAGTTAAGTATAGCATGAAATATTTACAAAAAAATAATGGCTCAAATCTGCATTTGTTTGTGTCACAACAGTTTAGGTGTCCTTTTTTAAAGATATTTTGAAGCAGATCTTCGTATATATACAATTATATAAAATTGTCAAGCATAATATATTAGCATTCTGAATGCTTTTAGAATCAAGTTTACTTTTTATTATTTTTATTTTGTACTTCGATTTAGACAGATGCTGTTTACTAATCCTAAACCTTTTTGCCATCTTGTTTTGACCAAATAAAGTAAGACAAATAAACCAGATAAAGCGCTCTCTTTTAATTCCATTGGTTTTAAAATACCAAAACACTCAAGTCTTGTGTTTTCCAGTTTTTAAAATGATTTACATCATAAAACATATATTTATATTATTTCAGGGAGCGTCGTGAAGAGGAGCTACGAGAGGCTTACAGGAAAGCCAGAACTCCAGAGGAGGCATCTGCTGTTCTCCAACGTTACGCCCAACGTTTCTCCATCAGCGAGGCCGTACTGGAGCGCCTGCAGTTGCCGAAGCTTCTAGACCGCAGCGTATCAGCTGATCCCTCCTTTCCCATCTCGCCCCTTTCCCTCTCGCTCTCCTCCTCCCCTACAACCCCGGACCCCTTCGACGAAGACCCCAGCGGGCCCCTGAGGTATCTGCGGCAGCAGTCAGCTCCACTGCCAAGGTTTACATCCACGCTGGAGGCACAAATTGAAGAGTTTCCCAAAGATTCAACCTCACTCCATCGGCCTCAGATTCGCTCTCGCTCATCTGAACCGCCATCCACCCGAGCCCTGTCACCCAAACCCGTGCCTTTGCTGTCACCCAAGCCTTACTTTCAACCTCAACAGTTGGCATCTGAAAAGCAGAGTAGTAAGGTAAGTATAGCACCAATGTATAGATTTAAAAAATGGTTGCCAACATTAAGAAGGGTTTTAGCTACGTGTTTCACAAAGCTCATCCTAACCCATCTTTATATTTTGTCAAACGTAAGTAGTTGATCAATTAAACTGTAATTCGGACCTTTCCAGCAACAGTGGTTCTCAAAAGTCTATACAGACCTTGGTTATGTTGCCAGGTGTTTGTACGGTGCAAAATAAGACTGTGATCAATAATTTCTAAGTTTATCCAAAAATAAATAATGTAAAACAGAATTGTTCAGTTCACATAAATAGTAAATTCTACAGATGATTTGTTAAATTGAATGTCTACACACTGTCTAAGCTATTCCAATTCCTTTATGTCATTGATTAGGAGGCATGCTTTCACAACAGTAAAAAATAACGGCCTCTTTGGGTTTCAGCCAAAAAGTAAATGGCATATTCAAAATGTCTTCCACTTTAATAAAAACCTTTGTTCCATGTGACGAAAAGTAACCCCAGACCATGATGCGGCCACCATCATTGATATAGGGTTATTTTGATGACAGCTCCCTTTTTGATAAAATAACTTTTTGTTCAGTTAAATTTTATGCAGACATATATTTTAAAATGTTTTATAATTTTTTTTCTGTTTGTTTCTTTGTTTTAAAAAGGTTTATCATTTTAATTTGTTTATGTTACCAATGTTCTGGAAGTAACATCCCTGGGCTTTTTGCTCTTGACAGAACTGTCATGAAAATGACTTGATTTGTATGAAAACCAAAGACTTCCCTTTTTTTCAAGAATTTAATTTTAATTTCTGTCTTAAGTTTCCCTTTATTCTGGCAAAAATTCACAAGGATTAATTTATATAGTTTAGTGTCATTTCAAAGGATATGCATGATATTACCAGATCCACATGGAGATTCTTGTCAGGAGTCACAGCTTGAATGCAGTCTCTGTTCGCTATTGACTGAAGAAGTCGACAAGTAGGACCCCTCTCAATGTGAAGTGGGCTCCCAGCGGACAAAGAGTGCCCATACAGGCTGTAAAGGAAGCGATGAGGAGATGGAGGAAGAGGGGGCCGTCTGAGAGGCAGCATTCACCCGACTCCAGCCCTGTGTCTTAAGTTACCACTCAGTGGGACCTCCACCTCCTCACACATGTATTAGGGCTTCTTTGTAGAAAAGGCCAGCAGGACATTTTGAGCCCATGAACAGCTAATAACTAAATGAAGACAAGCTCACAATGAGAAAGAACTTGGGGTTTTGGAAAATATTTTATTTAAGGTTTTTATTTATCTTTGGCTTGTCTGATTCAGGGGTGTACCAATTTGGAATATTTTTTCTCATTTAGAAACCCAATTTTGATGGTTATGTTTTTGTGGCTTATATGAAAAGTCAGACTTATGTTAGGAAATAGTTTAGAATTTTTTTTTCCATTTAATACCAAAACTTTGATTTAAATACGATATTATTTGACAGAGCAACATGATAAAGCTGTATATTGAGAAATGAAAGGAAATCATGCATGGCCCATTTTACAAATCTAAATTAGAGAGGTTAATAAGCTACCTTGTATGTCTTGTTGCAGCCAGGTTTCTGTAAGAAAACAATTGATTTGATTATCACAGACCAAGTCCTTAACCAACTAACTTCTTGGAGAGATCATATCTGTATAAACCACATAAGTGTTTTAACTTGTCTCTCTATCACGATTTACTCCTTTAGGATTCTTTTCTAATTTATTTGATTTATTGTGGCAAGGTCCTGTCTGACTGGAGTAATGGGTGGGTAATAGTAGAGAAGCTGCAGAGAGGTGTCTTAAACTAAAACTCTGTTTGCTGGTCTGCACCCTGGGATGTCAGGGATTTGGAGGACTAATAATGTTGGCCAGATTCTCAGGAAGAAGAGCTGCACCATCCAAAGTTGTGTGGATGCAGTCTCTTTGAACCAGATCAAGTTTTAAGCAAAAGGTTTACAAATTATCAATGTAGCCCACATGGTGTTCAGGACGCCACCTAGACAACCAGTGGTTGAATGATGACGTGACTAAACATGTCATAAATACTCAGAGAAATTCAGAGACTGAGTCTGACATTGTTTTGGCAAACTTGAACACAGCAGCATCACTCATTGTAATGTCCTCTGATCTAACCATGTCATCACCACCACCGTGAATAACTATATTACAGTATTTAAACTTATCCTTAGCCTTAACCTTTTCCTACAAGCCAGTAAAGCAATCTTAGAAGTGAACTTCGCCATAACAAAAAAGTCCTCCCCCTATAAATAATAAATGGTATTACACCGAGACCCAGTAAAAATATTATGAAACAATTCCCTGCAGCAGAAGCCATTAAAAGATCATTATAACTTTCAGTGGTGTGCAGTTCCTTTAGAGCCAGACTAAAAATGAGCAATATCTCTTATATAGTAGAGGTCTTTACCAACTTTATAAAGTATTTCATAATAATTTACAAAAGAAGCATTTTTGAAATAAATAAAATAATCAATAAAATTCCTATCAAGATAAGCTATCTATGGTAGTGAAATTACCTCAGTGTGTTTGAAGCAGAATAGAACACGGAAGGAAGGCCCAATGCTTGTTAGACTCCAAGACAAGACTAAGTGAACATATACATGATAAAGCATTGGATGGATGGAAGATATACATGATAAAGCGATGGATGGATGGATGGATGGATGGATGGATGGATGGATGGATGGATGGATGGATGGATGGATGGATGGATGGAGGCAGGCAGGCAGGCAGGCAGGCAGGCAGGCAGGGAGGCTAAACAAACAATGCAGTTTTTGAGTCATAATGGTGTGAAAGTTATTGTCCAGGACTCTTAAGTTTGCTGTTGTTATGCAGGTGGATGGTTTGCTAACAGTGAATGGCGATATTGGAAATAATTCCGAGTCTAAAGCAAGGGAATCCCCTCCCCTATTCCTGCCATCGCCATCCCTGTCTGGAAATGGCACTTTGGATGCTCCCTCATCAGATGCCTCGCCTGCTCGATGTCTGCCAGCCACCCCTGAAAGACGAAGTCAAGGGTCAACAAAGGACACCGACCGACCGTACAACACAGGATCAGCCACACGAGATTTTAAAGAGGAGAAAATCACTGAGTGTTTATCATCTCCCATTCGGCCTACTACTCTTCCAGAGGTCAGGGTTGGGATGTTTTTTTTTGTTTTTTTTTTGTTTGTTTTTTTACCATTCACCTAAAACTGCCTGTTTGTGATGGAATCGAGCAAACATCTTTTTTTCTTTGCTTGGGTTTTCAAAAATGCTGTTTGGTGAAAAGATTAAAATCTCGCAACATTTCTTCAAAATTTGATTTTAATTTGACAATTATGTTTTATACTACGTGTTATAAACTTCTCTTTGTATATGTTGACTCAGTCCATCAAACAGTAAACCATGTTTATGACCATTACAGGAGTTAAGGCAGCCTGAGGACAGCTTTGGGGAGGCAGGAGGTCAGACAGATGCTGCTCAACAGGAAGAAAAGACCTATCCTGCAGTTCATCAGCAGTCAACTACAGGTATGAGCAGCGTGCTGCTATTATGTTGCCTTTATTAGCATCAGGTTTATTAAATATTTTTCCTTTTTTGTTTAAAGCTAGGATTCTTTAGAATTTTGTTTGTTTCCTCTTTCTCAAGCTAAACCAGAGAAGACTGAACTTTCCAGTGAGAACCTACAGCAGATCTTTCCAACTGAGGTTGATACAATAAAAAATAAGGCTATAGCATCAATGGTGAGAGAAATTTTACCTTTAAGTGACCCTCATATCAGGAGTCATCCAGTATCATCTTGTAGGTAAGAATTTCTTCCTGTCAGGGGTCTTTTCAGAGAATGGAGATGGCACCGCCCTCGGCTGCACCCGGATCGCTTGGATATATACCTCCAAAAGAAGTAGCATCAGGTGAATTTATGTCTCAATATCCAGTGATGGAGCCGTCTGCTTCTTTTCCATCCTTTCTTTTGTTCTGATTATCATGTCAGTTTTTTTTGCTGTTTTACTTTACCTTTTCAGCACAGCTTTTTTTCTCCTTTTACAAAATAAAATTACTGATCTCAGTTGACACATGCTCAATGTATATATTTTCATAAACCAACCAGAAATTAGTCCATTTTGAGCAGACTAAAAATCCCTTCAAAAAGAAAATAATATAAACTAATAATAGGAATGACTACTTATAGTTCAGTCGAACCTCTACTCCAACAGCTTATAAGCAAAAGTACAGAACTATCCCTGGTTTGACTTTTCAAACTCTCAGGTTGTCCTCCCCAGCTGCTGTTTTTCACATCTGTCCTTTGCCTCATTATTTCCTTCCCTCTTTTCCTTCCTTCCCATCTTCCTTGTTTTCCTTCCGTCCACATATTTTCATCATTTTGCTCTAGAGTTTGAAATCAGTGTGAGGTCCCTGCAGACCTCCAGCAACCCTAAGTCACGCTGGGAATTCTTCGCTCCGCCAGGTAAACCTCTGTGTTCATAGAGGTCCCCTTACCACAGTACCATACTGGTGTTAAGGCTTCCCATTACCCTAAGAGCTAAGTCAAAACCAAGTACAGTAGTTGCAACTTCTGCTCCATTCATTTTAACATTTTATAAATGAGGGAGAAAAACTTTACTTTCTTTTTTCGGCTTATCAGTCTCTTTCTACAACCTTGCTGGGTTAAACATAAAATATTGTAGATTTGTAATCAAGTTTTGAAAACATCCTGTTTGTAATCACATGTTTGTCCGCATCTGACTTACTTATAAACGTGCAGGTACCTCAACTGCTAAATTCATACTAAACTCTAACATACTAAACTTTCGTCTCGATAACAGGTGGCTTACTTGCACCTAAAACAAGGATTAACATTAATTCATCTTTCATTACAGAAGAATATTATAACACCTAAATTAAGCTTTGCAAGTAGGAAACTTGCTGATGCTACACTTAATGGCAATCTTAACAATTTTGTGTCCTGCTCTATTTGAAACTGTTTAGTTACCGGTAAGTTTATGATCTGCAATGTTATAGACCTCTAACGATACTTGGGATGTTCACTGGGTCATTTAGTCAATTTTAAGGCCCAATAAACACAAAGCTAATGAGCCTTCTTTCATTCTGTTTCAGACCCTAACCCTCTATGCTTTTTTTTTAAGCTAACCCTTTACTGGAGGAGCTTTTTTCTGCAGCTTTTACTTTACCCTTAAAACAACTTTATTTGGGTTACCAAGAAACACGCTATATACTATATAAATGTATAGCCTTGTAAAAAGCATTTTGAAGCTGTTAAACTGTCATTTCATTCTTATTTTCTCTCTGATTTTCGAACCAATGCTTGATATTTTATAAAAATGTGTTTCAAGGAACTAAATTATTTTGTATTCTTAATGAATGTTGATTTTCATTTTTTTTTTTGTCTTGGTTCACAATTTTACAGACGCTTCCAAGAAGAATCAACATGGAAATGTGAGTAAAATATGTTGCTGAACTGCCTTTTTTTATTTTTTTATTTAACCTTTATTTAACCAGGAAAAAAATCAATTTTTATGAATTTTTAATCCAAATGAGATTAAAAACCTCTTTTTTTAAGGGAGTCCTGGCCAAGAGGCAGCAAAGTTACATAATAAACAGAGATACAATAAATTAAATGACAGGTACATAAAAAAAAAATATCAAGTAAAACAATTACAGATCATTGAGGCTGCTTCAAATTCTTTCACTTTCAATTTAAAAGCATTTAAAGATTAAAAACTCAGTCAACTTCCAGTTTCTTTGTGACCTTCAGTCCATAGTCTTTGTCCTAGAAAGTTCTCAATCCTGTAATATTTGTGGGAACTATGGTTTTGCACAATCTTTTGTGTTGTCTTTTTTCAAATAAAGTTAGGTTATTGGTCAATTGTTTTTTTTATTAGTTTTCTTTGTATTTTCAGTTGTGAAAGAGAAAATGAGCCTCTTAAGCATTTCAAAATGGCTGCAATCACAATTCTTGAAAACAAACTTATTTACTAAATAATTCATACATATAAGCTATATATTCAATTTTATATAGATTATTTATTAATGTCCCTGATTTCCAATGTTTGTATATTTGTGAATGTTTTTTTTTTTCACTCATTGTTTTGAGCTTTTCTGGTCAACTAACCTGTTGGGTTGGTGCATTTATTCAATACTGCCAACAATTAAAAACATGAAATAGCCAATCAGACGTAAACTATTTAGTCTCTAAATCTACATATAACTGATTTTATTTTATTTTTTACATTACATAAATTAATTTTAATTCACTTCAGATCTACTACTAATATTGATCCCAAAGGTAAATTAAGCAATTCTGAAACAGTCCCATCACATTATAGCCTAATGAAACTCTATATTTTGTTCTTAGATTTTTTTTTTCCTTTGCTCCTTTTTAACTAAGCCTTTGGTTTGTCGTGTCGCCCTGAATGATACTGAGCTAATTGGAAAAGATCATATGGAGCAGTGATGTAGCATGCCGGATGATGATGCTCCAGTTGATGGCTGAGACTGCTTTTTTTCCTTTTATATTCACCTCCATCTCTGTTTCTCTGTCTTCTCTCTCCTTAGTAGGCGTTCTTCTGCTAGCAATGGAGTAGTGCTGTTGTGGTAGACCAAATATTTCTGTCTCTTCCCTTCTTTTCTTTTTCTGTGGTGGATGCGTGTGCACATTTGGGTCTGTCTTTCTGTGAATGGGTTGTGCGTGGATGTTGATGTATGCATGTATGTGGTGTGTTTATGCATGTTAACTTGTATGTACATGTGTGTGGGCCTATCAGGTCTCAGTCCCGGTGTTGTCCCAGGCCAGGCGGGGAGACCGCTGGTCTTGGGACCCAGATGAGGAGCGAAAGCGTCAGGAAAGGTGGCAGCAAGAGCAGGAGCGCATGCTGCAGGTACACGGAAACCCACAAAGGGTACAGCATGGCGCATGAGTGTGCAAGGACAGGATTTCAGTTTGCTTAGGAGCTTTGTAGGCGGAGCACAACAGGCTGAGTCTGAGGTAGAAAGGTTTTTACTGAGCCCTATAAGGAGCAGAATTTGATTTAATTAGTTTGCAGATTTTCATACAAAAGCATGGCATGGGAAAATTAAATAAGAACATAGAATTTTTTTTGTATTTTCTTTAATTATGCATCCAATGTCTACAAGTTATATCCATCCATCCATTTTTGTCTGGTCTATGCAACTGTTTACACAGGTTGTTCAGAGACATAAGTTTCTATTTAGGAGGACTTGGTTTCCCCATTTGGTGCTTATTAAATTAAGATAACTTGAATCAGAATTCTTAAATAGATCCAGGTTAACATAGTAAATATCTCCAAGGATCTGATATATTAGATGTGCCTTGTTTTAGACCACTTGTTTAGTTCTGTGTTGGTTCCTTTTTATTCCAGGATTTTGTTTACTACTTCACTTAAAAAAAAATGCATCTAATAAACATTACAGAAAGACCTAATGCAATCTATAGCTGTTTCTTCCCTCGCATATTTATTAAACAAAGCTCAACCCCTTTATGTTCAGTTTAACCACTAGATGGCGAGCTTGCACAGTGGAAGAACCCAATGCTTTGGCCATCCTGTAGCACAGTCTCCATTTCATGCACATTCAAAGCAAATTGTCCAATGCGCTGTTGTTGCTGCCTCTGTCACTCTCTCCCTCCTCAGCTAATGAGATAACGCTCCTTTATTGTTGTAGTGAGGAGATGCACTCATATTGACGAAAGCCTGATACACGTGATCACCACCCTCCTCATTGTTTTGTGTTTTTTCTCTCTGTGCTCCATCTCTTCTATAGATGTTATATCCCTTATCTCTTTAGTTTCCAACTGCAATCTTCTGAGGTTCCTACACAAATTTGCATAAAGAGAGAGATGCTTTGTTCTCTCTGGAAGTGCCATCAAAACCTATGAAAAATATAAAAAATCTTGTTAAAACAGCATTTGTGAAGGAACTCCATGCTTAACATCTCTGCATGCTTTGGATTTTTTTCAATGTTGTGCTGTGGTTTTGCTCCTTTTTATTATTTTGATGTTTATGTTTAATGGCTACATATCTGAACGATGCAAAGAAACGTGGTGTTTCAGAATAAAAGTTTTCTTTTGTGTATTTATTTTCTTTATTTCTGGTTTGGATTATCTCAGAAAATCATCAGACTTAGAAAGCTGAATAAAACATTTTTGAAAAACGATGGCTTTTCAGCTGTAGATCCTTTCCCTTTTTTCAGCCAAACATCCACCTGCAGACAGCTCAGTTTTTTATGCTTAGGCTATGTGCTGTATGTCATGTGTCTGTTGCTGTGGTAACAGGAGAAGTACCAGCGTGAGCAGGAGAAACTGAAGGAGGAGTGGGAGAAAGCACAGAGGGAGGTGGTGGAGGAAGAAAGGAAGTATCATGAGGAGGTGTGTGTTTCCACTGGAGGGAACATGTTTGCCCTTTGATTTGTGAAAAAAAAAAAAAAAAAAAGAGTTTGTAAAAACGTATTGTTTTCTATGTTTATGTCAGTGTTTGGTTTGCTCTTTTCTCCCCCTCCTCAATAGGAGCGTAAGATACTGGAAGAAACTGTAATGCCTTTGACACCCCGCTCCTCAGCCCTGCCCTCCCCCAGCCGAGGGGGCCTCTCCTCCACCTCTGAGCCACAGGACACGATTGTCCGTTCGCTGGCAGATTGGGAACGAAAACAAGAGCTACTAGAGAGGCAGTCTGTGAGTAACTTATTAATTATATTCTCTGTATTATCAATTTGTTTACCCATTTCTTCATTTGCTTTACAAAGGTACTTCACATTTTTACATAATGGGCCAAAAGAAGGCTGTACATACAGATCCATCTCAAAAGATAGGAATATCTTTAAAAGGTTTGAAATTTTTTGATTACACATTTCAGAAAGTAAAACCCATATAATACATAGAATTATTACACATAAAGTTAAACACTTCAAGCCCTAATTTCCTGCATTTCTAGTTGTTATGACCTAGAGATAATAAAAACCCAAAGTTTATTTTATTTTTTTAAATAAACATTATGTAAGATTGCTTAAGATATGATATATTAGACAAGAAATGTCACACTTAAATTGAATGTTCATCTGTGATGGATGCAACATTTGGTTGGGCCATGGAGACCTTGAGGATGCAGAGCAGGAGCAAGCAGAAGAGAGGGGAGGAGGAAATTTAAGCCAACTTTTCCAATAATCATTATAAACAAAAGATAAGATTATTTAAAAAAAAATAATAGAAACCCTCCAAGCCCTAGCAAGGACCCAGCCAGAGTATTGGCCTTGCAGTATACAGTAATGTATTTCACTGAGTTATTGTTCCAGGATTATGTCCTAGACTCAAGTGTCTCTTTGCTAGGCTTTCTGACAAATACAAACAGAGGTTGAAACCTAAGGGAGATGGATTGGCACTGCTTTGAAACAACAGAGGGTTTCACCCAAGACATTTTAGTTTTATTTCTGCAACCCATATAATAAAAAATTAGTTTTCATCCATATTATTCACCTAGTATTGTTTATACAACAGTTTATATTCCACCTTCTGCTGTTGGCAACACAGTGGGTGATGTCATTGAATCTGTTGTTGCTAAGCTGCAAATGCCAAATGCATTTGTGGCAAAAACTGATGGTTTTAAGTGTGCCAGTGTTCCAAGAGTTGGTCAGTTGCTGTACCAGAGAAAAGAAAAACTTTGTGTTTGTCCTATGCAAAAGTCAATGCATTGCAAATTTCTAAAGTATGTCTTCTTTTTGGAAATTAAATCAAAACATGTTTTTTCTCTGCTCACAGTTTTAGCCCCTTTATAAGGGATAACCTACATAAATTAAAGATAACTGTAGGAATATAGTCACAGGAAGCTGAACACACCCTGCAAGGTTCCTTTGAGGCTACAGGAGCTACTGGGATGAACTGTCAGCCACATGGCAAAAATATGAATGCAGTGACTGAGTGTGTCAGACTAAATAAACTTCTGTGTAGATAACACTATCCCCCAGATATGTTATAAATGCTATCCCAGCATTAAACACGGATTTCCAGTGATCTGAATGAATTGCTTAAGAAGAAAAAAGAGCCTTCATGGAGAGAGACAGGGAATTTATTGATTAGTATAAAGAAGCAACTTGAGAAAAAGGTAAGAAAAAGCAAGGAGGCATACAGGAAGAAGCTGGAGAGTGAGCTCTAGTATAACATTATCAGAATTGTATGATCAGAAATGAAGAAGATCACAGGGCTAAGCATAGGGTGGATCAGACAGGTGGAAGTCTGGGCAGAGTCACTGAAGTGAATACCTTCATTAGGTTCACTTCAGAAACAACCCCTGCCCACATTCAAATAGACATCTAACCCTCCTTTTACCCAAAACTTCCCTCTCACAACCCAAATGTGTCATCTTCCACCTCTGCATTGAATCCTTCTGTCTCTGTTTACTTGTATACCAAATCCAAAGATATTGCTGCTCCATCCGCCTTTCATCTGTCTCTCAAAGTCAAGTGAGGAGGCTTAACGTGACCCAGAAGATATTTCCAGTAATGAAAAAGCCCCCTGCCTTGTTTCAGTACCAAAGGAAACTCAGCCAACAGTCTGGTTTATGAATGACTACAGATTTGCTTCTCACATCATTTTGGTCTTAGAGAGACTGCTGTTGATCCACCTGAGTAAACAAAACAAGCAGATGTTAGGGTCCTCTGTAGTTTGCATATCACGGTTAAGCTGGAGTTGAAGATGCCATCATATTGTACGTGTGCTTTAACAAACCCACTGTCATTTGCCAGAAACTCCAAACGACTCAGGTGGAAGCCCCAATAATCACAGTGATCAAACATGACCTGAAAAACAGACTGCAGTTTGTGAGACTGAATGGTCCATTGTCTAATCAAGTAGTCAGGAGCACAACAGAGGATAGTACTTTCCCCATTCCTTTTTACTCTGTACGCCTCTAACTTCCTGTACCAGACAGAGTCCTGTCATCTGCAGATATTCTCAGACGACTGCAATCATTGGGTGCATCAGGGATGGACAAGAACCTGAGTACATGGAGCTGCTGAACTTCTCTGTGCCATGGTGTGAAAACGAAATGATCTGATCTTAAATTTGAACCAATAAGCAAGATTTAGATTTCTGAAAAAGCAGGAACAAGTCAAATGTTATTAACATCATCAGATAAGAAGTGAAAATAGTGGAGGAGTATAAATATGCCTGTGTTCTCCTAGACAACAGACTCTACTGAAGACAACTGTGAAGCTGTCCACAGAAGGGATAGAGCAGACTCTATGTTGAAGAAGCTTAGTCTCTTCGGTTTAGCAGCAAGATGCTGCATATCTTCTGTAAGTCTGTTGTGGAGAGTATAATACCTTCTACCATCAGAAATCACTGTTGCTGTTACTGGGGTGATACTGGGGTGATAGCATCAGAGCAAATTACTAAAAAAATCAGCAAGCGAATAAAAAGACTGGCTTCATTCTAGGAAGATTTCTGAAACTTGTGAGGATTATTTCACAACCAATGCTTCATAAAACGAAGAACAGTATGGACAACCATTAGTATCCTCTTCATCAGACTTCAACTACAGAGTGTCTTCAGTCAGAGGCTTCTTCAGATAAAGTGCAAGGGAGACAGCTAGAAAAGATGCTTTCCTACCTACAGTCGTCAACAACAACTCAAAGAAAAAAAAAACTCTGGATTAGTACATCTACTCTCCAGTTCGGATTAATTTCTTGGACGTGCAGGTGGAGCAGTGGTTAGTACGGAGCCCTTAGTCCTCAACCTGGGTTTGAATCCAACCTGTGGTCCTTTGCCGCATGTCTCTCCCCCCCTCTCTCGTACTCCCTTTCCTGTCAGAAAAACAAGTCACTAGTGCCATAAAAACTAAAAAAACACACTGATTTCTTTAAAAGCAGCCTTCAGATAATCTACATTGTTGTTTCTGGTGTCTTTGATCCTTCTCTTAACAACAAATTTCCTGTGGGTTCATGTCAGAGCATTTTACTGCTCAGTAAATCAGAGTGACATCAATTGGCCAGCTTTTGGTACTTTTGGCACTGTTAGTAGAGAAAAGTAGCTGCTGGAAAATAAAATCAGTGTCTACATAAAGCCTTTCAGCTCAGGAACTGGAAGGTTTTTTTACAATGTTGCAGTTAATGGCTACTTTGACTGTGGTCTTCGGAAGTTATTCCATATTATCACTGACTTTGGAAACTTTACACTGGACTCCTTCCAAGCATCTCTTCCACAGATATTGGAACTTTGGTTTTCAAATAAAATACACATTTTACTTTAAGATGAAATTGCAGCTGTCAGTAAACTGAAATAAGGATCTACAAGGGACTGACTATGGGGGATGAATAAAATGCATGACACTTTTGGGATTAATTTTCTAATCATTTTACTTTTTGCAGTGGGACCAGAGCTAATACCTCATAGTTGCTTTTACTTATGTATATCTTGTATTAAAAGTATATTTAGCTTATAGAATATAACCAATAGACATTTTATCAGCTAATCAACTGACTGTTGCTTCATGTACAGAGAGGAAGCACTGAGAGTGCAGAGAGGAAAATGAGAGAAAACGACAGAACTAGTGACATCAGCACTGCTGACGACAGCATGAATACTGGCAGAAGGTATGTGGACAGCGCCTGAGAAGAGGAGAATTAGTTGTTTTGTTTGAAGCAGTGAAAAAGCTCACAGTAAAACTAAGATCATTGATTTGTCAAAGTTTGCTCCAATTGTCTTATAGCCAAGCTTATATGGAAGTTTTTACTTTTATTCTCAAGTATACCATGGAATTGTTATCAAAGTTTTATTTTTAGACAAGCATGTTTAAGTGATTTTTGGTCAGTATCAATGATAATTTATTTTCTTTGAAATATTTGAAACCATTCTGAATTGTGTGGTTTTGTTTATTATGGAAATATCTGGAACCAGGCTTTGAATACAGACAGACAGAACTATGATCAATTATTAGTTGCTGTGTTTTTCTTTCTTTCATCTTCAGCATGGTGAGCCAGAGCAGCAGTCAGGCAGAAAAACGTGCTCAAAGTGTTCCCAAAAGCCAAACGCTTCCTCCTACATCAGCCAAATGCTCAACGCCAGATAAGAAGCAATCAGCTCCCGCTACCGATAGCACCAGACCCAGTCGGTCAGCAGGAGAGAGAAGGTTTGTAAATATTTGAGATTGGGATAAAATAACTGGTGTCTGGCTTCTGTTATTATTATTGTCATGTAGTTTTTATATACTAATCATTTCATAATTTTCATAAACATCCTTTAGTTTGTAGAAAATGTGGCTATTCTTTTTGCTTTGCAGTCACACTTTTAAGTGAGCAAATCAGGAAATGTTATTGTGATAACCACAAATGACCAGCAGGTGGCATCTGTTGCCTTCATTTTCCTCCATGGTCTCTTTCAGCAAATAAAGTTTATTTTTTTAATTATGAGAATGTTTTTGAATAACATTTTTGGTGAGTCGTTTTTCATTAAAAAAACATGTTAAGAATTTTAAATTTAATGAAAACATCACCTTGGATCTTCCAAAACTGTCCATTGTGTGTTGGGTTTGGATTGGTCATCATCTGTCTGTGCTGTCCAATCATTTTGCTGTATCTGGGAGTCATCATCATGTTGCAAGTTGCTGTTCATTTCCAGGTGCAGCCCCACTGATAATGATAAAGGACGCGGCTCATCAAAGCCCATCGCATCATGTCCATCAGAACCAGACACATTACCCCCACCGCCCAACAGGTACCGCAGCACAAAAGAGCCCACAAAGAGGAGAAGAAACTGCGCAGTTCATTTCTGCATTGTCATTTTCTGCTTTACTCCCCACCCCCACCTTTATTTATCTCCACCCATCTCATAACATGTAGCACTGCAGCAGTAGCAGCCCTGCAACCTGCCTGGAATTTTAAACAGAAAAGATGGAAGGAGAGGCAAAGGTTTAGGTTTACTCTTTATTTGAAGCTAGAGGTTTCCGATAAATAAGTGTTTATCTGGACCAAAGGCACAACCTTTGTAACAGATATTCTAGCTTTTATCATTTTACCATGCTTTTACCTTCAGTTGCTTTTATTCTGCTTTTTATTTATTGTTTAATTTAGTACTTTTGAATTGTCCTCGTACTAAATTGTGCTATACAAAAAAACTTGCCTTGCCTTAGCCTTCTAGTAACTTGAATTTTCAGGACTCACATATGATAAGGTGTCATTAACATACCGAGACAAGGAATATACTGAATAAAACGGTTATGATTTGTCCACAGGAAAATAATTTTTTCCATGCATAGTGCAAAAAGACTACATATCAGTCTTAACTTTCTGCCTTGTGCAGGTCTGTCAGTGGGAGGAAGCTATGCTCCAGCTGCGGACAGCCTCTAGGAAAGGGAGCAGCCATGATCATAGAGACACTAAGCCTCTACTTTCACATCCACTGCTTCAAGGTTTGTACACAAGAGGTGATTCATCACATGAGGTTTAGTTATTTACCCATACAGATTCAAACCTTTCTCTTTTCTACCTGCTGAAAATAATGTTAAATAAATTGTTGTACTAAAGAAGATCTTGCTTTTTTCCAGTGCCTTATAGACGTTTGTTTTTTTTTTTTCATTTAGGACATTACAACATAAAATCTTTTTTTGGATTTTGGTGGGTTTTATGAGACAGACCAGCACAATTTTATTTTTCTTCTTTTTTTTATACATTCTTTTTCAAAAACGTTGGTATCTCTTACAGTTAAGTGATGCAGAGATCCACAGCTCAGGTGGGGAAGCCTGGTGACACAACTGCTAGTCATGAACTGACATTTACCAAAGAGTGGTGGAAAAGACCTCCCTAAAAATAGCTAAAAGAAATATTATATTAATTTTGCTTCATGCAAAATAAGAGAGATGGAAAGCAGGAACATACTTTGGTCAGATGTGAACAAAACAAAACTGATCCAGAAATTAACTCCACTGGTGGAGAAGGTGGATTGAACCACTACATCAAAAGACATAGGTCTAAACCTTTCCTGGTTTAGGTCATAGGTTATTGAAATAAATCTTTACTGAATAAACAATTTAAATCTTAAGAAATTAGCTCAAATATTTATAGTGTTCTGTAGCTTTTTAAGCCAAATGACCTGGGTCAATTTTTGTGAGATTCTTATCACAAGCTTTAACTTCCTGGCTAATGCCTGCACAGTCCCCAAATGATACTTCTTCCTCATTGTGCAGTGATTTTTTGACTAATTCCTCCTGCAGCGATCCATTCAACAACAAAGGGCCACTGTTGCTCATAACATGTTGGATTGTCTTCTCAAGCATCCAAGCTTCCCTCTTTAACCTCCAAATTAAGCAGCAGCCATGATGGTCAAACATTTTCATTCATCGTACCGAAATCTATCCTAGCTTTAAAATCTTGTCCCAGACTGCATTAGCAAGATTTAAAAATCTTCAGAATCTATTCCTTTTGTTCTGGGATTGAGACTCCGCTCACAGCTAAACCTGGTCATTGCTGGGACACTGAATCTGTCTCCCTCCCAAATAGTTGAATTACTCCACATTTGCATTGTATTCATACTCACATACTTGAGAGAATCAGTGTAGCACCTGCAAACTACACTCCTTCACCTTTATCTCGAAATTATAACAACCAGATTTTTTTTCTTTCAAAGTTTACGATGTTATGCTAGGTTATTATAAATGAGTAGTTGCTTTACAATGCATTCAAAATAACAAAAAAATAAAGAAAAAAACATCCATGGATGTCCCCATTTAACTCTCAATATCTTGTGAATTACCCTTTTAATACAGATCCAAACGTTCCCTTTCTTTTTATACAATGTGGGTAAATATTGTAGTATAAATGTAAAGATGTCTTTTAAGAAAACAGAATGTGTTACAGAGCTGATATAGAGTTTTTCCCTTCTGGTTCTTCTGTTCTTTAGACAAGTAATCTGCTTCAAACACACTAAATGAGGTTACGCTGAAGGAGCATCAATGGCCTAAATCAAAACACTGATCCTGTTTATGTATCTTGTGGTATTATTCAATGGATAAAATATATATTCCTGTCTTCTCCTCACCTGTCTCTTTGTTAGTGCGGGGTGTGTAAAGGACAGTTAGGCGACACAACCACAGGGACAGATGTCCGGATAAGAAATGGCCTCCTCAACTGCAACCAATGCTACATCCGTTCCCGATGTAAGTTTCCCGTAGAGATTCCTGTCTCCATTTTAACCAATTGCTTGTAACTTTTTTTCTAATTTAACATTTCTGATTTTAGGCATCTATTTATCCATACATAATTGTATACAAATCAGCAATATTAATGAACGTATGTGGATTTTGTCACCCCTATATGTTGCCGCAACTAATATTAGCAAATATTATGATAAAAAAAAAAAAGGATATACACTGTCTACTTGTGTACATATTTAAAATCTGGTCATAGATTTAGTTTTTTTTTTCCTATTTCTTTCTAAAACGTTAAGATTACAACATTCTTTGAGTGTTTTCGATGTGTGACGTGTGATTTATAAAAAAAATACTAAATCAAATCTGCTTAATATGCCCTTTAATAAACATGTCAGACCCCATGAGGCATCACAAGGAAATAAAATAATGGACAATAAAATTGAAAGCCTTTTGTTCGAAATTTCACACTCTTATTCATTCTATTTTATTTATTTTTTTGTCTTTTCTCTAAAGCCGCTGGACAGCCGACCACATTGTGATGCAGTGAAAAAAAGCACAAGGTTTGCAGAAGAAAGCCTCATCCTCGTTTTAACCAGATTAGCCACCAATCACGTCCTCCGCAGCCTGTTGGGATGTATGCTTCCACCGCAGCTCTGTGACCACTGAAGATCTATCATTTGGGCCAAATAGGGATCAGGGGACTGATAAATGTTTAAATCAAAAACATATATTCTCTGTGTTCATGTCATCTGCTACATGAGTGAAGTCTGAATTCTATTGGGCCTCATCCATCCACAAAGCTTGCTTCATCGTGCAGCGAGTTTGTTCTAAGGCGGCAGCCATGTTGAAAAGACAACACATAGAGCTCACCAACACAGTGATTCAGACCACTTTACATACTGGAAAAAAATAGTATTAATTTTTCTTATTACAGATGAGATAAAAAAGATGTGATGCAATTAATTACAGTTTAAAGATTTATGTTGGTTTGTTTTTCATGTTATTTTTTTTTTAAATATGGAAATTAATACAAAGTATTTCCCCTTCAGGTAAATAACAGTAAAATGTAAATACACAATTGGGAAACTGTAATAAAGTAAAAAAAAAAAAAAAACATATTTAGGAATTCAAATACATATGAAAAATTATTTTTAAAAGAGCTTTTCTATGGAGAATGAGATAAGGTTTAAATTAAAAATGAGAACAGATTCAGGCTGATATTGAAGGCAATAACAAAGTTGTGAGCTTGTTTTGAGCTGTTGGTTGCAGCAGATGGTTTTATTCAGTCTGTCTTGTTTAGCCAACACTGTAATGTGCCTTAGGACAGTGAAAGGATGCAGGAAACAAAGCGTCAGATGAGTGCTTCTTATTTCCCCACTATTTTTAATTTTCGCTAAGAGTGATTTGGTCAGAATAAAACTAGGAAAGGTGAGAAAGTTCAACTACATTATTTTATCATCTCCTTAATCATTACTGTTTATTTTCTTTTCATCATACAGTACTTGATATCATCATTTCTGTTTGATCGCCTTGTTTTCTGTAATTGTAAATGATGAAATAAAAAAAGCTAAATAAAAACCATGTGTACTCCACATGACAGGGCGAATAAGGGTTCAATTTTGAATGTTTTTGATATTGAATGTGTGAGAATCAGACTTGTTTTGATAATTTCTCAGCTGTACCGTTCATTTATGCACCTGAAAAAAAGTTGAAACTGAAACATCTGTAGTATCTGAAACATCTGTCGTCAGCAGAGGTAATATGAATACATACCAGCAGAAGCTTCACTTGTGCAATGTTCAGTTGGTTTAAACTCCTGCCAGCTCCAAATTTAAGACTTGTTAAGAGCTTCCTAATTTGTTGTGGGTATGTTGAAAAAAATGCATGTTTAAAACCAAATGATTTGCTGTATGAATGCAAACCAGCCTATATCTCCTTGTGCTTAAACCGGCTTCACCTCTGGAGTCATCTCTCACTTTCTCTGAACCGCAGTATTTTTAAGATTTTTTTTCCGACTGTATTTTTTTTTTCTATTTTTAGCACTTATTTAGCTAATGTGTAAAATCCATGTTGAGTCTTTTATAGCAGGAACTATGAGTCCAAGCTCTTGTCCCAGAGGGTTTTAATAGGACAATAGGGGAATGGAAACCTTTTTGCATCTGTACTGTATTTATTGTATAATAGCCTATTCAGCTTGAACGTTATTCAGAATATAGTTTCATTTGATGTTTTAATGCAATAGCATTTATTATTACATCACTGTATGTTTATAAATAAATATAAATGGACATAAAAATGTTTCTTTATTGTAATACGAGTGGCTGATTTCTGGAAGTTTTTGTGAACTTGTGGATAAATCGTTGTCAGCTCATATTTACCATAAAAGAGTCAGAATTCAAGCATTCAACAGATTTTTCCTCATTACTATGTTTTGTTTGATGCTACAGTAGGTAGCAGAAACTCATTATTGATTTGGTCAAAAAAAAAAAGAATGATATCTGAATAAATAATGAAATGTTGGTTTAGGCTTGAGAATTAGGCAACACTGGAAAAGATGAAGTAATGTTTAATCTGTCTATATCATAACTAACATGAGGTTAAAATACCTTGTAACATTGAAACGGCTTTATTTCTTTTTTCTTCTTTTTTTTTATGTAATTAGATATTTATTTGTAAAAACCGACCATTTTTTATACCTAAACTAAAATTATGATCACGTGATATTTTGTTAAGGTCTAATGTAGGTTTAGCTTTTTTTTTTATAAAAAAAAAAAAAAAGTAAACTTGTTTTATATGTTTTATATGTTAATGCTAATCCGAGATCATTAATGTAGCTGTAAAAGCACGGTGAAAGGTTTAAAATAACACTCCCTCGTCATATCTCTTTATTTGTGTTTCGATGTTTTTCGGGTTCCATTTATGTTTTATGCAAGCAATCCTTGTTCTTTTGTGTGTGTGTGTGTGTGTGTGTGTTTTTTTCCTATATTCAATATAGGTTGCCATTTGCAAAATACCAACAATGTATTTGGTACCTGAAAACAGAATATGATCAATAGTAAGACTTTTTATTTACATCACTTTCTTACTGATTAATTTTTCCATATGTTAAAAATTAACTAAACAAGATCGGTATTTAGTTTAGTTAAATGGAACCATGACCATTTTTTTCGTTTATTGTTTTTGTTTGTTTGTTTGTTTGTTTGTTTGTTTTTTAGACAAGTGGATGTTCTTAAAGAAAGAATTATGAATTATATTGACTTGAATTATCAATAAAGCGCACTGGAGCTGTCCTTGGTGCTGGAACTGTTGGCCCTTTTAAACGACCACCGTCAGATTTCTGTAGAGGCCTAATTTATTTTTATAAAGTAGACATAAAGTTTTCGGTTATTACTTCTCAAACCACGTTGAAGAAATGACAAAACAAGCTCGGACTATTATTTTTTTTTATCATCAACAATCATTTCAATGGTACACCTTGAAAACTATGTGCACATGTAGAAATATTTCCTTTCTTAAATATAAGCATTCGTTACCTACATATAAATAACTTTCAGATCCTGGACAAAAACGTGTTACATAATGCTCACAAAATGGGAGAAAAATCATTTGAAAATCAGACAAAAAGACAACATGCAAATTATATAGAAATAAATACAATGTCTGCATCCACCCCACCCCCTTTTTTATTACCCAAAATAAATTCTTCCGAGGGAATTTTAGTAAAACATCAAAAAGACTTGTATGGTCGATCTACAAGGAAATATGGCCTATGGTTCAACTATAAGAGACAAGAATACGTATTAACACTATACAATTGAGCCACAAAAACACTGCCGTAGAAAGACACACAAAACACAGATTTCCTGTCTGAGGTGAACATTGCAGTAGTTTGTGCCTTTTTTAATATCGAGGAAATAAGTGTGTTTATAGCGACAATTTAAAGAAACTAAACTCTCTGCAGCCTTAATGAAAAAAGAAAACGCAGCGTCCACACAGTAGGCTGTGTATAGAGAGAACAAAAAAGCGCTTCGGTAGATGGTTGTGTCAAAGCATCCTCAGTCATGGATTTCAGGCGCCTCTGTGCCCAACAAAAGCAGCTGTTGAACTCTGACTCTGAATGTGATTTAACGAGGCTCTCTCTTGCGCACTGAAGACACGGCGCGTTTCCAGTGCGCCAACCTTCACCTTTCATCCTTATGATGTCAAAAATATACATCTGAACAAGTCATTTACTCATTTTTTTCTGTCTAAAGCTAAATTAAGGTGAGGTATGATGTCTTATTATATTAAATGAGAGAATATTGCCTCGTTCGCTGCTTATTTAAGATAATTATCTGCGAGACTTGATCAGGCGAGGATGGCAACAGTTCACCCTTCCCAGTTTGGTCTCCACCTCATTCTGTGTGAAACTGTGACTTGTCAAGATGAATATTTTACAGGAAAATTGTTGACCACAAGGAAAAGCGCGAGGTAAAAATGAAATAATCATATTCATCTGTTTTTCTAACTGCTTTTTTATTGTCCTCCAGTCTGTATCGGGCGATTGCTTTTCAGTCTCCAGAGAACTCAACTTTTCTAAGCCTCATTAGAACATGCTGGTCTTTACTAATGTCGCTTTAGCTCCGTTTTGTCTTTGCAAAGAGGACAGTACGCTGGCGAAGGGCCCGCCCAACGAGTCCGGAATGGATGTGATGGTTCCGGGCGCGGTAGCCCAGCCTTGGCTTGGCGCCGTCACTCCCATGCCGGATGACACGGAGGTCTTCACTTGGTCCACCTGTCCGTTCCCGGTGGTGTTGACCTGACCGGCGGTGGGGCTTGGTCCTCCGCAGTTTGAAGTAGGAACCGGGTTCGGTCCCGGCCCTCCCGTGCTGTCTGGGTCGGTAGTTTTGGTGTCTTTGCTGTCTTCGTCTCTAGAATCGGACTTCTTTCCAGAACTGGACTTGGCGGCCGCTGCTGCGGCGGCAGCTGCTCGCTCTTGCTTGCGGAATTTGGCGCGACGGTTTTGGAACCACACCTGGGAAAAAAAAAAACGTTCAAAAAATGTAAGCGCAAATAAACTAATATATTTGTTTTATACAATACAAAAGACATAGAACATATATGTAGGAAATGATGCGATCTTTGGTGTCAAATCCAGTGAAGTAAAGCTTTAAAACATTCACCTAATCTTGTGATTTAAAAAAAATATTTCATGAATCTTGATTTTAGTCCAAATCCACTGGTGCGTAATTGTGCGTAAAGGCACCAGCCACCGATGGATGCCTGTTGAGCAGCGAGTTTGGTTTATACCTGCACTCTCGCTTCGGTCAGATCGATCTTAAGTGCCAGTTCTTCTCTGGTGTAGATATCGGGGTAGTGAGTCTCTGCAAAAACCCGCTCCAGCTCCTTCAGCTGCGCGCTGGTGAACGTAGTCCGGATGCGCCTCTGCTTCCTTTTTTCGTTCAGCCCTCCATGATCGGTAAAGAGTTTGTAGGGAACTGTAAACCAAAGGGAAATGTCAAGGTCATACGTGTTGAATTCGGTCAGTAAAAAAAAGGATGTGGTTGTGTTCAAGTACGATGCAGATAAATGGTAATAAATACAAATGTAGTTGTTTGGTGTAAAATCCGGTTATGCACGCTGAGTTGGGGCTTCCTGTTAAATCCTGCATTTGATTACCTTTAAATTAGATCAGAATTGATAACACTGTTGACCTGTGAAGCGGTTAATTGTAAAATTAATTGTTGCTCCTCAGATTGAGGCTCCTCTTTGAAAACTTGTCATAATGTTGCCATCCGCCCTGCTTGTTGCTACTGTAACTCCAATTTCGTGTCAATAATGAGCTTTAGTCTTTGGTTATCTAATTATTTTCGAAGCTTTATGTCTCATCGCAAAGTAAATAAATTATGCCTATCATTTTGGCAGCTTAAGATAATTCTGTTGGCGGTTTTGGGTGTGACTGGGATAGTATAACCCCATAACCGAATTACCTCTTGCCTGCAATCGCTTCTAACGTGATAAATTCTTTCATTTGTGTAAGCAAATTTCGTTTGGTAAATACTAAACACATTTCCATTTTCAAATGCAATCAAGGCATCCTATAATACACCGGGTTGAGGCTCCGGAGCTCGCTGCTGCTTACCTGCGGCGTACGGGCTGCTCTGGTGATCCCGCAGGGTCCCCAGACTGCAGGACCCCGGCGTTAGGGAAGGACAGCCGGAGGTGGCCCCGAAAGTGGTCCTGATGGGATTGTACTGGAAGCCACTGGTCTGACTGCACGAACTGAAGTCCGCGTAGGCCGATGCCAAGCTCGACGTGTCCATCCCGGCCATACATGACTCGTAGGCAGAGGAATTTAGGTAAGAATACTCCATTTTATACATTTGAAAAGGCTCGGTTGAGATTGAAAGCTGCACTTCCCTGGAAAAAAAAATGAAACAGAAGCACCCAAAAAATGGGTTTGGAAAAAAAAACAAAACAAATAAAAATCAACCTGAGGAAAACGCGCGGTTGAGTTTGATGACTTGTTTGGTTTGGACTGGTTGGAAGAGGGCTGGACGGTGAGAAGATGTTCACTGCTCAGCGCCTGCTCCAAAACTGGCCTCCTTTATAGGAACCTAGCCCTGTTTTATGAAAAGCCCCCTAAGAGCCGCCTAGCCCGAGGTCTCTAGAGCATATAGTCCTCATAATAAACTTGGCTCTTTCCGCTTGGACAATAGCAAAGCGTTTGGTCTTATTGCTAGCGCTTTTTTACATGACAATAACTCATCAGTCTATTGGGCTGGCACTGGGGGCCCGGGCTGTCCAACCTCCCTATCATTGATCCCCTGCATCTCTAATTAGAATTTAATACCACGCCATTACGCAGCCCTCCACCACCACCGCCGCCGCCCACCCCCTCCACCCATCCACCCCACTCCTCTCCAACCAACATCTTGCCCTTTAATTCAATCACACCACTTGGAAATAATGAAAGTTGGGTGACGATTCTCCCTGATCCAATTTTCTCCAAGCTTTTAAGCCTTTTAAGCGACCGTATACCTTGGGCAGGATTTCACAGAGTATTCCCACTCTGCCTCTCCTTTCTGTCCGTATGCTCCGACATTTTTTCCTGCTCTCTCTGCCTCTGATCTTCTGCAGTGAAGCGGTAAAACATGTCAATTTCTATCCAGTAAAATGACCTATTTTTACGCACAAGTATCCGTTTCAAGTGCACTTGATAATAATGCAATAATTGTGCAAAAAGAAAAAAAAGCCACTCTAACAAGCAGATAGGCACTAGTGTATTTTCTCATGTTGTCTCGTTTATTTTTGTGTCTACTTTGAGAATCTGACTGTTACTCTAAAATTGCAGTTTATTGGTTGGTATCAAGTCACAAGCCCCAAATAATAAATTCCTTCTTA